CAACATGAACAATAATAATAATTTTACCATTAATAACAATATCATCAATAGTAATGGTAATAATAGTAATTTAAACAACGGTAATAATGTCAACACGACAGAAGATAATTACTATTCCAATCAAGAACAAATTGACCTAATTAAAAAACAAATGATGCTTCAAAAGCAGAATAGCTATTTGAATGAATCAACAGCATCTTACATGCAACATGCCAGTAAATCTCAATCTAATCTCAATGGAGCTCAGGTAAATATGTATTCATTAACTTGCAGCTATTAATTAGAAATAATTTCCAATTAGTATCAAAAGCACGCAAGTTATTAAAAAGATACTCAATTTAAACGTTTCCTTCAAAGTAATTGTTCAACAAATTTTCAACCAAACTCTGTACAATTGATTCAACTGCTTACCATCAAATTTATATTCAAATAGTTTATTGAAAACAATTTATATGAAAAAAGCACAATTTCAATTTCTATTTATTGATAATTCATATTTTAGGTCACAATTTTTTTTACATTTTTAAATCAAAAGACCAAAGTTCTGTAGGTGGATTTATGATTTTGATAGCAAATTTATTAATAGCCGTTGAAGTAATTAATTTATTTATTTGATTTGCTTTCTTTTATATGTAAACCAACGGGTTTTCAGTTCAACTGGAAACTTTATATTTCATTTTCAAGATGATTCCGTTATTTGATGGTAAATGACGAGAAAAATTGAGATTATTTAAGAAGCAAAAGTAGGTGGTTTGGATGATTTTATTATTGATTGGCATTGACAGTTGAATCTTTGTTACAATCTTGTTGATTGAGCGGAGAAATGCGTTTAAATCTGATGTACCAAATTAAATTGATTGGTCTGACTTTTTTTTAATGATCCTCTTAAGATTCAAATTTTTCTCATCCGCTTTTTTTTCTTTCTTTCTTTAGATAAGCAACTTGTCTGGTCAACAGCAACAACCGAGTGAATTAACAACATCGCCAACTTACCTTCCAATTCACCAGCAAAGGGCAGTTAATCAAAGTTTACTTCGATACCATCAACATCAATACCAAGCATCTATTAATCCTCCAATGCAGCCCATGAGCCACTCAGTACACTCTGGACTTCCTCAACAATCTCAGAAGCAAGCAAATCTTCAACAACAAAGTGACCAACAACAATTGTACAGCAATTATAGTGCAGCTCATCATATGGGTAAAAGTCAATCAACACCTAATATGAGTTGTCAACTTACCAATCAATTGCAACCTCAAGCTCAACAATGTTCACCTTACAATATCAATCACTGGGTGATTCAAGAAGCTGAACTTCGAAGATTACATTATACTCAGCAACAGGGGCCTGCATTGATGGCTCGTTCAACAGCAATTAACAAGTTTCCTCAGCCAAGTCAAGTTAATCCAAATGCTGGTAACACTTATGAGAATCATGTTTATGAAAACAGTCCTTTTCGAGGTTCAAATGCCTCAGGGTTGAACAGAATTCCCAAATCATCCAGGTTCGTAGCTTCTTTTCACTGATAAACTCTTATTTTCTGGTCATTCATTTCAAGATGTTCATCTTCAATGTCTTTCGCTACAATCGTCTCATCTTTTTTCATCTCAAGCAAGGTGTGTCAAGGTTAATTGATACCAAAAAGGAATAATTTTTAATGAAACTTTTTCTTCCATCAGTTTATGATGTGAAAATGTTTATCTCTGCTAATTGTGCATTCAGAATCAATGAGCAACACGAAGCTCACATTCAATGTAATTTCAATTCACATGAGACCAAATTGATCAATGAATTTATTGTTAGTGGCAATCAACATGGAAATAAAAAAATCTGTTTCCATGTTTGTACCTTTCATCAATCAATTGAAATATTCAATGAATTCAGTAAACAATTAGTCAGTTTAGTTATTGAATTAAATTTTCAGGTAAACTCAATGTAACTCGTTTAATGATAAACAGAAGTCACAATAATTATGACCTTTATCCAGCTACCAATTATCATGTAAAAATATTTTCAAACACAATCATTAAGATGAACTTTGTGAAAATTCCAACTTTGATTGATTAGATGCAGAAAAAGAAAGAAGTTGTTCATTATTTATGATAATTGAAAGGTTGATGTATCTCAACTTAGTAAAACTAATAATTTTATTTCTTCTTCCCAATTATATTCAACTCCTAATTGGAAACCAAAATGTGGAAATTAATTAGCAGCTGATTCAATGTTGAAGAAAAGTAACGGACTTCAAGTGACTCAAACACCTATTCAAACGGTTCAACAAGGACAACCCCAACCTCAACCAACCCAACAGAGTCAACAACAATCACCATCACATGGACCTTTACAATTGGCTCAGCCTTTGCAATCTCAACAATTACATCAACAACAGCAACAACAAAAGCAAATGCTTTCAGTTAGTGGTAAAAAAAAGTGTTCAAACTGCGGCGATGAGTTAGGTGAGTTGAAATTTTCCTTTCATTTCAACTGAACAGCAAAAAAAAGACTAAACGGTTTACTGATGAATCTGTCTCTTCATTTTTTTCTCACCTTTTCCTTATTCTTATACAAGGTCGTGGATGTGCTGCAATGGTTATTGAAACATTAGCCCTTTATTACCACATAAATTGTTTCCGCTGTTCAGTGTGTCACATTCAATTAGGTATGTACATGAGTTTTCCGTTTCTTTACCTTTCTTCTATTGGAACTTGATTTTCATGGAGAATAATAGAAATGCTGATAAATGCTAGAGTTGATGATGAAGAGGCACAAAAATGTTCATAGTTAAGGGTGTTTATTGACTATTTCAATGGTTATTACTTCCTACCTTTTCTCTCTCTCTCTTTTCCTTACCTATGCCATCTGACAATTTAAACACAATTAAACAGCAGTCAAACATCGTGATTGAATGAGTGGAAAAATTAGATGAAACAATTTGTTTGAAAAATGTACGAGTTGAATGGCCGAGTGAATTGTCTTTTAAATCAAATTGAGATGAAAGGAGTAAAAATCTGCTTTACTCATTGCTTTCCTTTTTGTTTACCTGTAAATCTGTTGATAATATTTTTTTCTTGCTCAACAATTTACTTGAAAGCCAACAAAATGTTAATTTTGATTGTTAATTGTGTTGATATATTTAAATGTTTAACTCATCATTCATTCATTTGTTATTATCTTTACCTATCCTTGATGGGTTAACATTTTTAAACGTTTATTTATCTAAATTTGAAACATTTGACACAAGTTTATCTCAACAACAACTCATTATTGGTCAACAATAACAATGATTCAGAATAAAAAAGGTTTAATTTGACAGTTTCATCCTGTTATCCTTAACGTGTCGACCTATTCTTGCTGCACAATGATTTTAGTTAATTATGACAATGATTAAGATGAGGATGAAAATGATGATTACACTGATAATAATGTTGAATTATGCAGTTTAAAACAGTTATATTTAGCAGTTGTTTTGATAACGTTGGTGTTACTTTCCTTGATTAATAAGGATGGTCAAGTTTTCCTTCTTTTCACTGACCAAGTTACCTGTTGAAATGTAAGATAAGGTTAAAAATGAGAGAAAGACATCATAATTAGAAGCATTGGGTGGAATTCAGTTCAGATTTGTGGAACGATAATTCATCAGATTCATTCCACTATCATATGGGTTATTTATCCTCTTCATCAGGTGAAGAACAAAAAAGTTTACCAAAAAAAAGGGAAATCTCTTAACCCTTTTTTTCATCTTTTGTTGAGGCTACCTGATGACCTCCTCAAGCAACTTTATCAACTCATGATTACCATCACTGAAATTGCCAAGATAATTTCATGCTAACAACCGATTCAGTTGATCCTTACACTTGCCCTTGCCTTTTGTTTTCATGTAATACTTGATTTACATGTTCAATTGATGGTTTAACTTTCAATGGTTAAACTCTGACAATATCATTAAACTGTAATTAGACAGCAATTGAACCTCTGATTTGCTACCTGAGGCACATCTCATTATACCTGGCAGTTACATCCAAGTGACCCAATTAAAGAGTGACCGGTAAAATTTAATGTTGAAAGTAAATTATTTTCGCGAAAAGGCCAAGAGTAGTTGAATCAAATTGAATGAAGATGATGAAAACGAGAAACTATTTTCTCATCATTTTAATTCATTTTTTTGCTTCTCTCTTCTCTGCTTTGAAGCCGGTTTAATTCATCATCTACTCTTTCAAGCAAACATTATCAATTTAAAATCATATCGTACTCTGATCCATCTTAACCTACTAAAGGCCTTCTCAAATTTTTGTAGATATTTATTTCCAGTTTCCAGTCAATTGCAATCATTATTTTACCTTTAATCTTTACCTTTCTCCCACCTTTATCTCATCATGAAAGTTTCCTCTTTTTTCTGATCTTATTGTTTGTGATGTTTCTTTTACTATTACTTTGATTATTGATATCCGATGGATGAGTTGTTGTATGAAAAGCGGAAGCTTCTTTAGGTACCTCAAAAATATGGCAAACGGTAGCATCACAGTAGTTTCAAGAAAATAATCAAAACCTGGATTATGATTATTAAACTTTTATCATTATTATTGCCATCATCAATCATGAAATCTGAAGTAAGCGAAGATAACCTTGAAATTGGCTTCCCATGGTAAAACTTGTTCATCTGACAGGTTAGAGTTGAATTCAAGTTACATCTCTGATCATCAATCTTTTTCATTTTACCAACTCTCAACTAGTTTATGCAAGTTATCATTTTAAAATTTGTCCAATTTAAATAACTTTCTGACATTGTTTTAAGACTTGTAGGTTTATTCAATATTTCACTACTTTTTTCAGCTCATTGTTGAATCTTTCAACATTTATCAACTGATTTACACAGCTTGGTGAAAAATTGGTGTAAAGGGCGATTCAAGGTTCAGTAGCTAAAGTTTATTTTATTGTTTTTGTTGCTCTCTTTGCTTACCCTTTATGCTCAATAAAACATCATATATTCACTGTATGTCAATACCGTTATAAGTTATTGGTCTGAAAGGCCTCAATATCAACAAACCTTGACCATCACCCGAATTCAATAGCAAAAGCTTACATTTTTCTCGCCATTTTTTCGCTTCTATTTTTCTTTCTTAAATCATCTTAATTTAATCATCTTTTCTGTTCAATTTTCCAATTTTGACCTGACTTCATTGAAAATACTTGAAATTACTGAAATAACAGATTATCCTCATGATGAGACATCAACAATAGTGATTTCAGTAATTTCTGGTTTACCAAAATAAGTTCAATAATAACATCAACTGCAGCAAACATTATTCACTTTTTCAATTCACTCGAAACTTTTTCCATCTTGAGATTGATTATTTTTTTGGTGTAAATTGCTTAAAAATGCGCCTTGATTACAATCAAACTTGAAAAAATATTAAATATGTATCAGTGCTGTTCATCAATTGTACTTTGAGGCTCATAATAGCTGACATTGTAACTAGATAATCAAATATTTTTGTATTATCCTTTTCTTCAAATTCATTTGAATTGTCATTGAACTGCACATTGTTTAATTGGTTTTATTTTTATCTTAAAGTCACTCGTACATTGAAAATAATTAATGCATTTGATTGCTATTAACCTTGTCAGGAAAAGATGGTTAGCTTGATATTTGGAAAAGATATGCAAAAATACTCTAATGTTTTTAGCATTTCTTTTCAGTCTTTTACAGAATTTTATTGTTGGCAATTTTTTGGCTTCTCCATATTGAACTGTTTGTTGTTGAGCAAAAAATAGGCTGAAAAAAGCTTATGCAAGTTGATTGTATCCTAAAGCATGATCATGATGAGAAAGGCAATTCTAGACAAATTGCAGGAAGAGGAACGAAAGATGAACAAAAAAAAACAAAGCAAAATTCACCAACTGCTATTTGATGGTTTCAGTTTTTTTTGCTTGTCAAGCTTTTCACGGTCAGCCTAGAAATGATTTAACTTTACTGCTCTCATTGTTGATTGTGACGCTGATTGTGATGGTTCACCTAAACTTTTGAAAAATGCAGTTAACACAAAATTTATCCTGAATCTTTACTTTTCCTTTCAACTTTCAATCTAAACTTATTAGTTGCCAAAATAAGCTGAAACCCAGAGATGGATAAAGAAGGAAGAGAGCGTGAAATAAAGATTATCATGAAAAAGATAAAAATTGCCAGGATAAGTTGCTCGTCTGCTAATGAACTTTTACTGTTTTCTTTTATTTCAAACTCAATTCTCTTTTTCTCATTAGTCCTTCAAGATGAAGTTCATGAAAAATGGTTATCTTAAAAAATATCATTCTATGGTTAAATTTAGTTTTCAATGGCTAATAATTCACTTTCACCAACTCTTTAACCAACCTTACATCCTCTGCGTCAATGAACATCTTTTTATCAATCTTTTTTTACAATTCAAACATAATTATAACCTTCAACCATTCACAGTAATAGTAAACTCATTTACATTTGTATTATTGGCGATTAATGATGAATATCTTGAGCACAGTTATGAAAAGGGTCGCTACCATGAGAGATTGAATCTCATTTTTAACCAAATTATCTGATCATTTCAATGTTATCAATGAGCTGATAATGGCCAGTGCTCATTGTTAAACTTGCAAACAGTCGTAAATGATTCAGTTTATTCATTTATTCAAAAATGAAATTGACAAATTTCAGGGTTACCGGAAGCAATATACACATTAAAAGATGATTAACACTACATGAAAGGTAATATTTTATTAAGGGTTTGATAATAAATGGCAATAATGGCAATGCTAATGGTAATAATAGGGTTGATGAATCAAGTTTAGTGGTTGAATTAATTTCTTGTTGATAAATTTGTGAGCACAAAATCAACTTGAATGTTACCTTTTAATGTTGCTTTGTCGTTGATTGTTGATAATTTACTAATCGTTGGTATCTGGATCAAGGTTGAATTTGAAATTAATTTCAATTTGTTCCTTTTTCTCCTCTTTTCATTTCCACTATTTTTCACATCAGGATTATCATCATCAACCTCATCATTAACTATCTCTCTGGAATCACCATTTTTCTCACCATTAAAATATCAAAATTTGTTTCTCACGCCAATTTAAATGCTTTTTTTAATTAACTCCAAGTCAAACATGATCCTTCAGTTATTGAAACGTGCTAATTCACGTACTTTTCATCTTCTCGATTGACCAACGACCAGCTGAATCAAATTTTCAGACAAATAAAGCGTCCTTTATCCTTTGCTTTTTGTTTTACTCCATCAGTCAATATCAAAAGGAAAGCACAAAGCAACGATCATTAAAAATTGAAAAAAAATCGGACGCTTTTTTGCTCAATTTGTTGACCTGGTTCTGTCAGTGAAGGTCAGTTGTAAACCAGTAACTACTGAGGCCCTTTGAAACTCATTAAAAGCTTTACTTGGTTATGATTTCATCCTTTTCTTACTCAATGCCTAAGCTAACGATTTTTTTGCTTCTCAATTCATTCATTCCCTTTTTTTGATGACTACTTTGCATAAATGCATAAAACTCATTGTCTCGTTTTTTTGACGATTGCTTACTTACTTACTCATTTCAAGAATCATTATCATTCTGGATCGTCTGAACGAGAATCTTTTTTTTTGCTCAGAATATTTTCTTTTTCATGATTTACTCATTTGGAATTTTACTCTTGACTGATTATATCTGTTCCAATTCTGTCAATGTATCCAATACGATTTACATTAGTTTTAATGCTCACTGAAAACTTGAATTTCACTATTTTTGAAGTACACAATATTGAGATCTCAATTGATTTATTCAATCGTAAATTCAAGATGAATAAATTGTACTTGGTTAAATTTTCACCAAAAAATCTTTTTCTTACAATGACACTGAACAATTGACACCTTTGCTACACGAGAAACTGATCTTGATTTCAAATTCACCCGACAATAATCAAATTTCAAACATTTGTCTGATAAAATATCAATGAAATATCAATGAGAAATTAATATTTCAATTTTATATTTTCACGTTTCCATACGTTCAATAATCACAAAACATCTTGAAACAATTTAATTTAATTCAATTTAAATTTACATACGGTAAATATCAATTGCTGAATTGACGATAAATTCAATATCCATCTTTATTAATCAACTCTTTTTTTCAATTTAAATTGAAACTTTCGTTTGCTTCTTATTGATTTTACAACTCTAGTCAAAATGCTTGGATTGTAATCTTATTGTGATGATTGCAGTGATCAGATCTTTTATTTACATCTTTCATTTTCATCTTGAAAAAATAGTAAAGAACGAAATTTTGGAAGAAAGAAAAGCTTCTCAAACAATTTACTGCTAAAGGATTGGCTATTTACTGTCTATAATTATATTTAATGTGATCTATTATAAAAACTTTTTTTTTTTCTTTACCTAATACTCTTTATATATGTATACTATCATTTTGATGTACATCAAAATTACATCACTGAATCTTCAGTAGCAACTCACAATTATTGTTATTTTTTTACCCAATAATAATGAATGAAAATTCATGATGAGTTGAACCAACAAATGATCTCTATCAAACAAGACAATGATACAAGAAAAACACTTGAATAGATATTCATCTTTACCTTAAATCCAGGTCAAAGGTAGTATTGGATTATCTCATTTTTGAAAATTGTTCAAAATTGATATCAATCATGGTTCTTTAAATATATTGAAACCTACCATTAACTTTTTTATTTGATTAACTTTCATTATATGCTCATCATGTCATCTCGGTTTACAGTTAAATCCTATTGTCCTATCATGATGAGTTTCACCATTTTTTAGGTCATCTTAAAGTATCCTTATTGCCGTCTCAATCCTATGATTCTGATTTATCTAGAACATTGAAATGTTTCTGTGAAAAATTCAATATTGAAACAAGTCTTAACTAAATTGCCAACTTCATCAACTCTTCGTTATCCTTGTTTCCTTTAAAACTTGGTCAAGTTTAATGTTCAACTTTTTCTTCCTTTAATTTGATTGTTTAAATTACAATTAGAGTAAATTAAATATCATTTTCATACCATTAATTAGACTAACTGTTAATTATTGCTTTATTTTTACTTCTGTCCAGGTAATGGTACATGTGGAACTGATGTTCGCGTTCGTAATCATAAACTTCACTGCCACAATTGTTATTCCAATGATGAAGGTTTGTATAGATAAAAATATAACATTTAATAAATTGTTCAACTTATTTTTATTAATTATCTAATTGCGCTTTTCTTTCTCTCCTTTTTTCCTCTTTATCATCGTTTCCATCTTTAGCTGGACTCAAGTTTAGTCGTGTCTGAATGATTAAATGAATTTGGATGCAATTTAAACTGTTTGTTTCACTTGCTTGGTTCAAGTTTTTAATTTAATGGATAATTTAACTTTTAATTGGTTAAAACAAAAAAACTCACACAGTTGCCAATGAATAGAAAGTAAAATTGTAATTGATGTTGGACAATCACAACTTCCAAGTTGACCACCAAAAACGGCTTCCAACTTAACCCAAGACTTAGACGAGTTTATTATTGAAGGCTCACAATTAAAGGACACAATTGCAAATAATGGATAAATTATGGATTTAATTAATGTTTCCTGATCAAATACTTTTAATATATTTACCAAATATTATCAGTATTTACCAATTTTTTGCGCATCTTCATCGACAGTTTTATAAATAATATTTTATATTTATTTGTATTCTTTGTAACCTTTGCTTGTAAAAGGACAAACTATTGATGAAACAACAAATGAAACGATTTATATTATATTATGACAATCATCCCAACAAAGATGTAAACAAAAATGAAACATGTTCAGTCAATTGATTGTTTTTTTTTCATAATTCAATGTACAATCAATCGTCTATCCTTGTTTCATTTTTGGCCCCTGCAAAACTGAACTTGCCTTTTTTACTATAAAACAAAACATTTTTCTGTAG